TCATCTTCTTTATCTGTGGCTTGTTCCCTCCTGACTTCTATTTCTCCTGACTGTGGGCCTCTTTACATGTCTGTTTTTTTTATTATAGTCTACAAACCAAAGATAATATATTGAAAGAGTCTTGACAGCTAACTCTTTAAAAGGTAACTGTAAATTTTGTTTGGGTAGGTAGCTAAAGCACTGGAAGATCTCCCTGATTCAGTTGGGCTTCTTATTGTAGGGTATGCCTTTATCCCAAGGGTTCTGGGCTCCCAGATGGATGTACTAGGTATCATTGGAAGACACTTCTAGCTCAACCAGTGTATCCAAACTCTCTCCAGCCTTCGTTATCTTCCTTCATTTCTCTGTCTCTCAAACATGTCTTCTCAGCATCCATGTACACACACTGCCTCAGTTTTGAACAAGGACTTGACAGAAACCTCTGTGCTGTAATCTGAGACCCCACTTTTACCAAGGTTTTCAGATGCCAGCACCTGGTCTCAAATGCAGTTCGCTCAGCAGAGTGAACACTCATGTGTGAGATGGCTGTTCTGTTAAGTTGTTCTCGACTTTCCTAATGTCGCAATCATTTGCTACAATTCCTCATGTTGTGGTGACCCCCAGCCATAAAAACTATTTTTGTTACTACTTCATAGCTGTAATTTTGCTACTATTATTAATCATAATATAAATATCTGTCATGAGGATATCGGATATGTGACCCATGTGAAAGGGACATTGAATCCCAAGGGGATTGCAACAAACAGGTTGAGAACCACTGTGTTAGGAAGTATCTTCAGAAATCCAAGGTAAGGACTTATTCCTGTCACCTCTCCTGGACTCCGCCCTGTGCTTCTTGTTGTCTGATATGTGAGAACCTTAGTCTCCATATTCTGTCAAGTTTTGTATTGTGTACAGTAGGGGAATTAGTTTACTGTTAGGCACTCCCTCTCCTTTTTCAGAATCAGTTGTTACTATCATTCTATAAATGCAGACTAAATTTACCTTTTGATACCATTTTTCAGCACCATTGTCTATGTGCTCACATTTTAGATGAAGGTGAAAACCAGCAGCACTTGTTTCTATTTCAATGGTCCTCAAATTTTGCCAAGGAAGGGCATGGCCTTCTTAAGATCACAGATGGCCTTGGTATGGATGAGGTCTCATTCATTTTCACCAGTCACACTAGTCAGTGTCTGACTAGCTTGAGCTCAGATCCACACCTTTCAAAATAATGTAGGTTCTGTTGGATATTAGCTTATTTGTTTCTCCTCAATCAAGTCAGCCTTAGCAAGCAGAGGAAACTTTGTGGAGTTCAGAATACTGTTTCCTTATGGTAAAACAATTACTTTCTTGGACTGTATCATCATCTTCTTTATAAATATTATCCACACTCATGGGCTAGCAAGCTTTGTTTCATAAACTACCAGGCCATTCTTTACTACTAACCTTAGGTATACTACAGGTAATTTAAAACTGATATTGAAGTACAGCAGACCTAAACATGCTTAAAGGTAGGATTACAAGTCATATTCAATTTTGTTTCTCACAGTGTAGACTAATTTGGCAGTGGTTCAGAAATATCTTACATTTAATGTCTAAATACTGTCCTATACAAGGAGCAATTTGCAGCCAGTCCTGGTGGCTCACAGCTGTAATCTGACACTTAGGAGAGTGGGACATAAAGCTTGTTACATCTGAAGAAGGAAAAAGGTAAGAGAAGGGGAGAGAGTGGGGGCAGGAGGACGAAAAAATAGCTGGTTCTAGTCCCATGGAAGGAATCCGTAGGACATCCGATTGCTCACTTCTTACATTAACTTCTGCTGTGAATTTCTTTTCTGTGATGAATAATTTTGTTGTACTCTTGAAGGCAAGTTAACCTTCCCTGTTCTGCACTTAATTTTGGATCTGTCCTGTTTGAAATATATAAATACTGAGCTTTGTCTACATGGCTCCAGCATAGTGATTATACAGAAACACGAATAGATACAACCAATTATTGCTCTTCCCCAAGACATTTCCCAGTTCCCTTGAATAATGAAAGTCAGTGTTGCCCAGGGAAACATTAAGTAGACCTCATAAAATAATGCTGTTCTCTAAGGAATCACCACCTGAGTTATAGTCTTCATAAGTTTAGCACGCTTACTTGCTTAGCAAACAGTTCTCTCAATGGGTAATAAATTCCTGGGAGATGGTAATAGAGGAAAGGATGGAGGTAGCAGTTTTCCTTGGATGATAATATAGTGTTTCCCCAATGTGATTAATAAGGGCCTCAAACATATGCTAGACTTATTTCTTTTTTGCCAAAGTATGCAAAGCAGCAGTTGTTCATACCCACACTGTCATCTCTGTATTTTCTCAGGGTATTCTGCTTGCTTATGTTTTAGGCATTGAACCCAGGAAGTGGAGGGCTAGGGCTGGATTTGTCCCAACTACAATTGTATCTTTGTTGTTCAGTAGATGCTTAAGAACTGCCTTTCAAATGGACAAAGGACCAATCATTTAAGAAAAATAAGTTTACTCACTAAACAAGTAAATGAAGGGGGAAATTGGGTTTTTCTCCTTAGAGAAACTTATGATGCCACAAAACATAATTTATGGAAGAGATACAGATGATTTACAAAGGACACATAGATAACCCCAATGGGTTTGTAACTGGTCCCAATTCTATCAACTAATAACAGCATTAGATTATAACTCAAAGAATAAAATAAGTATACGTAAGTACATACTAATGATGACTGGGAAATACAGGGACGATTCTTCCTTCTAATAGGATCTCAGCTAACTTATGTAGTAAAGAAGGGGGCAATCTAAAATTCCTCCTTAGAACTCCAGAGTATTAATGGCTTAGTCAGATACCCTGATGGGGACCAAGATCAATGAAAAAGCAAGATGGATACATGCTATTTAAGCAGACAAATGGAAAAACATTTATTACTTGCAAGTACAATTTGTACAATTTCTTGCTTTTTATGCTTCCAGTTTCCTTCTCCATGAGAAAAGAACTAAGAACTCAGAGACCAAGAATAGACTAAGTGAATTTAACATTGAATCACTGAATTCACCATTATAAATTCTAAAAGTCAGAGAAAAATTACTTGCTATGGTGAAGTGGGCAACTCATATGTTAAACTGCATATCACAGATTAGATGTTAGATTAGGGAAGATTATAAAGTGCTTATCTTTTGTGCAATAGACATTAAGTGGAAATCTAATTGGTTTATTTTCTAATCAATACCATAGCTTTCGTGTCCCTTTCTAAGAATTACTTGTCCTATAATGAGAAGAGAGTGATTTGATCAGTAAATATTTATCAAGCAAATAAAACCATTTCCCGAGCTTTGTGATATATACTAAAGCATTAAAAGGGGGAAAGATGTCACATCAGCTCTCAGAAAGCCCATAATCCAATAGGAAGTGCTGACAATGTCACAGTGTTAGAAGTAAGGAGAACACAGTACCCTGCAGATGGAAGGCAGCTGATTTAAAGACAGATGGATGTGGCAAGTGATAACTCAGCTTGGACTGGCTGTGGCCTGGGTGGAATTACTAGCTGGAGAGTCTGCTCGATTCAGTATAAACTAGAAACAGGTTCATTGGATGGAAAAAAATCACTTAGAAAGCCAAAGAAATCCTGTGAGGTCAAGTATAGATCAAAGGAAGGGCAGCTCAAGAGTAGTGGGAACATTAAGTCACCTTTGTGACCTTCGTGGCAATGTGATTTAAATACTGTTATGACAGGAATAATGGATGAACCTAGCCATCACTGGCTTGATCGCCCTAGTTTTCTTTGGGACTATTAGTGTATTGTATCTTTAAGGGTGAAGTCTTACACTGTAGGGATGCCTTCTCCCTGTGCTAACTTCAAAAGGTACCAGGAGTACTTTCTGATGATGAGATCAAGAAACAGCATGGAAAACAATCCACAAAGTGCGGCTGGTGGCAAATTGCCACTAATAAACTAGCTGCTTTTCTCGAGCGCTGAGCTGTCAGATGTGTGTTTTGTACTCACCATGGTGCTTGTGTAGGTTGTAGTACATTAAATTAAATCCATCAAACATTTTATTGAGGGCCTACTGTGCACCAGGCACATAGTCTGTGGGATACCAAATGGATGTAGAACACTGACTCAAGGAAGTGCCTGGGTCTCATTCAAACTCTTAGTTATTGCAAAGTCAAGGGATTTTTTTTTCTTTTTAACAATTCATACACACAGTGCAACAAAGTATAGATTTCTGACTATTTCACGTGGCTGTTAAAATAAATGATTATCTTAACAGCTGGCTTCTGAGTTTCTCTTAGGGAGGAAATTGTCTGTTTTAGGTGGCACCTTGATAAGGGGCTTCTACAAAAGAAGACGCCAAAGTTGATTGTTTTGTGGGGGGTGAAACAATAAGTGCATGCAAAGACTGTCGTCAGAAATGAAGAGAACATTAGCGGAAGGTGGGGGCCAAAAAAGAAGCAAAATGATACTGTCTCCAGCCTTGGAGACATCTAATTTAAATGGTAAGAATTTGTGGGTAAATCTCCCACACTTCTCAGTAATCTCTGCTGTACATACAAGGGCTATTCATATAAACAAGAGGGGGAGGGAAGGAGAGAGGAAGAGAGGAGACAGGAGAGGGAGGAGACTGGGTTGGGGGGAAGAGGGAGGGATGGAGGGAAAGGGAATATGAATCATGAAAGGGAATGCATTTTATGTTTTATGGACACATAGGATGATTAGGAAAGCCCACATCTAAGCTGAATGAACTTTGAAAAAAACTGAATAGAAGGTATCCAAGAGAACTCAGGAGTCTTCAATAATGCACCTGGAATTTAGAGATACTTTTTGAAACCACAGAGTCTTCTCTAGATCTGTAGGTTATGGCCTATCTTATTTCTCCCAGAGCCCTTGATACTGCCCCCAGTACTCAGTTATTTTATCTGCGCCTTTATTGTTTAATTCCTTACTGTTGTTTATTTCTTGTATTTATTTCTTGGTTCTTCCCATCCTCCCTCACCTCTGGACCATAAGTTCCCCAAGATTCGGATCTCACCTGTCTTGTTAGCTGCACCTCAGTAGCTGCAATTGGATGCCTAGCACATTAGGTGTAGAGTAAGTATTTGTTGAATGGAAGGATTGTCTAAATATTTTGATAATATGCAACTTATAGTGATGTTCTTTGAAATTTAATAATACTGGTTAATTTTGTCTTTGATTAGGCTATGCTTCTTTTTAATTATACTAGTCAGTGATTGTTTTATACTTAAATGATTTTAAAAGCCTTTATTAATGAGCACATTGTCTTTTTTGATGCTTTCTACCCTTAACCCTTGATTATTTCATACTTAGACATAATTGACATATGAACTTCCATTGCATCAAAGTAACAGGAAGGTTGGGGGTGATGATCTATTCAGGTAGCTAAATTCTTGTTTCAGAGAACCAGTAGTTGAGGTGGGTGAGTGTGAAAACAGATGTGGACTCTCACACCAGGAGCACATTTCCCATAATTCTTTTCTTTTTCTTTCTGTCGATATTCATTGAGCAGATTTTTGTAGATAACACCAACGACCACAAAGGAAGACTAGATACACACACGAAGGGAATAATTCACCATTTTGCCATTTAACTTGGGAGTTAAAGATCATACTTGGGAATTCTCATGAACATTTCTACATTGTCTTATTGGATACCCATATTTTTGTATGAAGTTTGATACCCTGTTTTGAACTTTGGGATATTGCTCATTAGATCTATGCTTTAACAGTCTCTCCTCAGCATTGCTCCTTAGCTTTACTTTCTGATCCCTTTTGTCAGATTAAACACAGGATGCTGTGTTACATTTGAATTTTAGTTATAAGATGAATATTTTTAGTATAAGTATTCCCTTTGCAACATTTGAGGGCTAAGTTGATTTAATAGGTTTCTAAAATTCAAATTTAACTGACATCTGGTCCTTTCTTTTTTCTTTTTTTGTAAAACTCTGTACCCCTGCTTACAGAGAAAAGTCATTTGGAGGTGAGATGCTGAAACTTCTTGCTAGGATGTCTGTGAGGTGTGCAGTAGTGCCAACCTGTCTCGTACAGGAAGAGACCATAAGAACAATGAACTGTGTCACCCTGGCAAGACTACAACTACTTTCTCAACATTGTTTCTTTTCAAATCACGTTTCACAGTAATTTCCAGATTGGGCTAATAAATTTTAGATCTTTTAAAACCGTGTACTGTAATTAGTTGGATAATAATCTATAATTACCCAGGGAAAGTGAGCCCATGTGTAAATTATTAGTTATAAACTATGCTCTTTCCATGGAGGAATTTTTGGCCTTTTCTAATCAGCCCACGGCATCCAGAGTCCTCACATGAATATTTGATCCTCTCTACTGGCCCGTCAGCCTCCTTTTTCACTTCCTTCACAGAGTCCTGGCAGGTGATGCTGGGTCTTCCACATCAGTTGATGGCACTGAGCCCAGACCCAGTATATAGAAATTCGTGTGAATTCTATGAAGCAGAAGACTAAGAAGGGACCTCTACAATAGTTAAAGAGGCAGACACCCATAGATATGTAGGCTGGGCATTAGGAACCGGTCAGATGGAAAGCTAAGGGTGCTGTGTTTGAAGGATTCTGTGGTGCACACCACCTCCCACACATACTTCCATGGGATTTGCCTTCAACACACAACACCTCCATTCGGATGCAGCCAGTGCCCGAACTTTGTCGTAAGAAGTTGACCAGTAGAACACATATTGCTTTTGTTGTTTTCTTTCTGAATAATCTTCTCATTCCTATCATGACCCCTGCCTGTTTTTCTAACAGCTCATTAATTTTTATTATTTAAGTAGTATTTCTAGAGGAGGTTTGGCAATGCATCTTTTGAGCCTTTCTCCAAGAAGCTGGTCTCCATTAGTGAAAATTCATACCACTGAGACTGCTAGGGACATGTTCCCAGAAGTCCCTGGTGGTCCTTGATTCATGTCACATAAAATAGCTGACATGAATAAGGCATGCTTTGATGTCAATTCTGAATATCTTAGAGAAGATTATGTGAAGAGCTCAGTAGTGACAGATTGTCCTGACACTCACTCCTGGGCGCAGTGTCCTATGGCTGGGTGGCTGGGCACCCAGGCACCTGAGAGTCGTCTATCTGAGTCTAACAGACTTCTGTGGGATCAGTGAGAGGGGAGATGGCTACAGTGGTGCTCTTGCTTCTGGAGTACCAGGGAACATTATCTTTTGAAAAGCCCCATGCCATCCCTATGGAAATAACTCTGCATTTGTTTTGCATCTTAGCAGACTGAGGCCAGTTGAGGTAATGATTTCTCCAAGTTAGCAAGCAGTGGAGCCAGAATGAAACCACAGTCCTCTGGAGGGGCAGCCAGCACTCTTCACCACGGAACCACTTCCCCAGCCCGTCTGAAACTCTTCACAGGACTCTTGAAACAGGATGCATCCTCACTGACTCATGTCAACAAAATAATTACTGACTTTTGCTACAGCGAGTGCAACGATTCGAATGTAAGAAAAATAATTAAACGCAGTTCTTTTCTGTGAAAAGTTGTTTATGAAATAATTGGCAAAAATGTCTGAAACCCTGCACAGTAAAGTGAGACCAATAACTGCCAGTAAGGGATGTGCAGGGACAGAGCAGAGGGGGCTGTCTCTCCCGGTGGACATGGCAGGGCGGGCTTCGTACAGTACACAGAATGTGGGGTGAACCTCAATTTCACTTAGAGTATCAAAGTGACACTGTGATTGTGAGCTTGCCTTTTATTTTTTATTTTGTTTTTGTATTGAAGACTAAGTGTCTGATCCAAAATGGCCTTGGCAGGTTGGGGAAAAGGTTAGAGGCTGGCAATTCAGAGTCTAGGAGGCAGTGCCTTTTCTTTTACTCATGGTAGATAGAGAGAAAGGGTGTGAGTCATTTATTAGCTCAACTTTTAAATTTTTGCTATTGTTGCTGAACGCCTACTATGTGCAGAGGTGTCCGGTGATGATCAGAAACAGATGCATTGTGTGGAGGTACTCGGAGGGGCTCCTATCTTCATTACACATATAAGATTCTGTACATGATTGAATCCACTACTTAGACTTTAAATAATGGGGAAACTCGAACTTTCAGGAGAGCAAAGGAGGTAGATAGAATGTGGTTAGTGCTTCTGGCTGGAGAAAGAGCCAAGGGAGAGCAAATTAGTTCAGCACTATGTAGTTGTTCTCGCTGTGTTGTTCCCATCATCACTGTCACCGAAAAGTCAGACTGGTACTGCCTTGCGCACATGGAGTCACCCTCAGCCAGCAATCAGGCTCTGTATGTGGAAGTAAACACTTTTGGCCATCTTCAGAGTCTAGTAATCTTATTCTTCCATGGAGTAAGAGCACAAAAAAGAAGCAAAAAGGAACAAGGGCCAGGGATCCAGGGTTCGTTTCTTTTTGTCTTTGTCTTCTGCTATCCACTTTATCCCCTACCCCTGTCCATGCCTTCTCTAAGAAATAACTGAAAATCTAGAGACCCATGGCATGCCTGCCCACAGGGCTCTGCTCAGTCACATGTGCCTCACTCCATTGTGCTGTTATTTCAAGCTGTCATTTTTCTGTCCCGAATCCGCGTAGCACAATGCCCTCAGTCTAAGCACCGTCCTGACTTGCAGTCAGAGAGCCAGCCTATTGTAATGATGACTGCCATATTTATGCATAAGGGTTGAAACTGGAACCCATTGTCCCTGCAGACGGGGAAATCACAGAACAATGGCTTCAGGAAGGAATTGTTCACAGTCTGGCAGAAAACAGCCCTGCTGACTTCTGTGCAGTGCAAGATGATTTAGCGCTGAAGTACAAAGAATAATGACAGGGTCTTTCTTAGGACCCTCGTACGTGCAGACCATGTCCACAGCAGCTGAGCTGACTACAGGAATTCAGAAAATGCCAGGGGGAGCAGTTTTTAACCTCTGAAAAGCTGTTAGTTACATAAGCCTTGGAAATGTGCTGCCTTGCTTTTTGCTCCGCAGGCGTGTGGATCCCACATCTTCTCACCTGTGCAGTATCAGGCTTGGGAGGGATTCTGTCAGACACTCAGCCCACTCTACTCCTACATCTATGGCTAATTCATTTGAGGGCTTTAGGGATGTGCCTTCGAGCTAATTCATAATAAAGGATGGAGGTTAGTCACTAGGCAGAAGAAAGAATTTCTCTAGAAGAGTGTTTTCTTTTCCTGGGATAGATAGGACTTTTGTCACAGTTGATATTGAAGGATTTTTACAATAAAATTTGTAAATCTTGACAAAGTTTCTCTGTGTTCCTCCTCCACCCCCAGAGAGTTTATGCTCTTTGCATAGAGAGTTAAGAAAGATAAATTCTAGTAGCGATTTGGTTGTTAATGACCTTGGTTGACCTTGGGAAAGCCTCTGGTTATTAGGATGGGGAACAAATGTCTGTCTTCTATATAGCTATTGGAGTGCCTCTGGACTGAGTCTAAGTCTAGATTGAGTTGAGATGCCAGGGGCCCAATCCCACATTTAACCAGGATTATTTTCCATGAAATGATGTTCTCATAGACCTTATACACCCTTCTTGAATAGGAGAGGAAGGAATAAAACTATAAGATGACTCAAGCAATGATTAAGACATTGAAAGAGAAGATATTAGGGGCTGACTTCTAACCCCTTGTAACATGGGAAGTTAGGTGTCTGTGAGTATGTGCTGTTCCCTAGTTCTCTAAAGAGAAGATTTGGGTAAGAGTAGTCAATCTCATTCAAGGACAGAGGTCTTTTGAAGATGGTCTGAAAGATGACTCCATCCTCCTGTTCAACTGGAAGCCTCCTTGATTCTCAGGTCAGACACATCGACTGCTTTGACTGGACCTTTCCTCAACAGGGGTCCCGAACTCTGCTACCTTCAGTCCCTCCCCTGTCTATACAGTCGAGGCTTCTTTCCTCTCACCTGGTTCCTGTAAGGGCTTCTTACCTGGAATCCACATCCACAGTGTGCTCTCAGTAGCTAAGTCAGAGCCTTGCTGTCAACATGGAAGGAATCCATCTACTCATCTCACTTTCCTGCTTAAAACTTGTGACACCGTATTCCACTTCCAGTGGAAGCTGCTGTTCTACAGGGTCCTTGGGATACCTCTGCTACATCAGTTTCCGGTCACTCCACTGCAGTCCTCAGTCCCTCCGTTTCTCTAGACTCATATTCAGTGTGTGTGTGTGTGTGTGTGTGTGCGCGCGCGCGCACAAGTGGAAGCCAGAGATCGACATCCCCAATTCACTTTCTACCTAACTTTAGTTTTTGAGCCAGGGTCTTTCACTGAACTGGAACCCTGCTGTTTTGGATAGACTAGCTGCCTAGTCAGAGCCCCCGCTCCCCATCTACCTTTCACACAATCATCCCTTTCACCCCAGGTCGAGGGTTCTAGACACCTGCCGCTGTGCCTGCCTTTTGTATGGCTACTGCAGATCTGAACTCAGATCCTCATGCCTGGGCAGCAGCACTAAGCCATCTCCTAGCTGCTCACGTCTGTCTCCCTATGGACTTCTTCTGCAAGGCTCTTCTCACAGATGCAGATGCCTGCAGGGCTGGTTTCTTCATCTTCAATGCTCTGCTCAAGGGAAACCTGCTCATTGTTTATTAGGTCAGCTTGGGCTCTGGAACACGGTGATCCAAAGTGCTCAGGAGCTTTTGGGGTCCTGCGGATACTGACATCATGAGTCCTTTATCTCTCAGTCCACTGGTTTGAATAAGAACAGACTTTTGGGGGAAAGAAGAGTAATTTGTTTTCCTTTGTTTTTAATGCACTAAATCTTGAAGTGTTTACAAACTATGTGATTGAGAAGGTTCTATTTGCATCCCAAGTTTGGAGTTGCTACTCACTGTTCCCATGTTTACCTTCTTACCATCTGTAGCCGGTTCTGAATTCTCTGTGTACCCATGGAGAACATTTTCCTAAAACTGAAGTAAGCAATGAGAAGCAGACCATTTGGGTTATTCTTTATGTTAATACTAGGAAAGTCAAAGACATTAGACTTCATGCAAACTGAGTTGTTTGAACTCAGATCACATAGTACATGTGCAGACAGGCATCCTGATGGGAATCAGCCAAGTAGAGGCAGGCCTTGACTGCCAGGAATCAAACCATAAGTTAGGCATGGAAGGCACTTTGGGCCAGTGAATGGCAGGGCCCACAATGTTAATTATTGTTGCTTCCAGGATTTTAGCCAGGAGCCAGGGAGATGGAACTCTCTGAGGTGCTTAGAAGCAACCCACCAAGTTCCTGGATAGTTTCTGTTCTCAATATTCCCTTGACTCATGGTTTGGATCCTGGGAAATTTATTCCATTTCTTCCTCAGTTCCTTGATGATAATGGTGGTTTTATCTGCACATTTGGTGAGTGATTTGCAATGACCTAGTTTGTTGTAATAGCATGCCCATGACTGTGTTGTGTATTGTTAAACTGCATTAGGATATGGTAATGGCTTTATTTGAGCACAAGGGATATTTTCAGGAATCTCTGTTGTGTAATTTGATAATATTACCATGCTGTGTATGGATTTGCCTCAAGTACAGCAGTTTAGCAACAAGAACAATAACAACAAAGAAACCTTCCACTAAAATATGGTAACTCCAAAGCAAAACAATGCTTTTAGAACTTACAAAAAATCAAAACAAGGAAAAACCCCAAGACTTCTGATCTTGTTTTCCTTTACCTATTAATTTATACCAGTAATGATTGCTTGAAAATTCACATCAAAATGTGAATTGTTACCATATGTAATCTCTTGGTAGATGTGGGCAGACCAACCCACTTAATCTCATTTGGTAAGATTGAAAAAGCTCTGCTTCCTCTTATTGTACATCTCAGTAATTTGATGGTGCTTGTGGATAAAAGGCACAGTCTGAGATTATCCTGAGACAATTGCATGAGCCCCCAGCATAATGGCAAGGCAGTAACAATTTAAAATCCAACCGAGGGTAATTAACAAGGCTCTCTCTGCTCCCTCTTCTAATGTAACCTTTCTCTTTTAGGCCAGCTTTAGAGGAGTGATCTGACAACTGGCTTATTAGCTGGAGGATTTAGGTTGTAGGTTTAGATTGTTTATTGGTGACTGGGTTTCAGTAGCCACTATCTTCACATCTTATGACAGACAGGTTGTGCCTTAAAGGTCTCAGTCAGTGGTGGCTGTTCCTCCTCTTTTCCCTTGCATTCTTCTGGGTCTGGAATAAAATGTAACATTGGAGAACTTTAAGGGAAGTAATGAACAAGAGCATTTTCATTGCACTATGCAAATTGCATACAAAGGTATGCAAGCATTTGCAAATGTAATTTTGGGTTCAAATTTTGCAGCCAAGAATATTGCAATTTGTGTTAGAACATGCTTCTTTCCCTTCAGGCCATGAAGAATACTCCTGAGTCTTTGGTTATTTGAGATACACCTATTTCATCTCTTTTCTAAAGTGGAATGGGTTTTGCTTTTCCTTTTTGATGGTCTGGCCTTTTGGTCTTATCTGTGGAGGCAGAACATCTGTGGTGTGAGAGGGGATTTGTCAGAAAAGGGCACACTTTTCAGGGCATGTAGCTTAGATGTCTTAGATGCACAGTCTATGTCTAGACACATATTAGTGAATGAAGGAGAGGTTATGCTGGGAGTTGGGGTAGAAAAAGGATAATGTTTTTAGGAAGTGAACAGGGGAGGGGGCAGAAATGATCATCTTGGGTGGTTGTTCCTGCCACAGATAGATCAGGGGGACAGTGCTCTACGGTCAGCTTGAAGATAATTTTCCAAACATTTCTCAACTCTCTGAAGGCCTTTGTATCCCTACCTGAGATAGAGTTTCTTGTGTGTTGACTGAGCCTCTTTTGCTCTGGGTGATGGCTTAAGTTTCAGGAAAATACATGAGGCTGCCGCTCAATGCCGCAATGCACATGGGAAGATGGGAACATGTGTGCTACAGGGATGGAAGCATCTCTCTCAGGATCCTGATTTCCCTTTTAAGGAACTTATCATGAGTTAGTAATGAAATCATCCCGGTTAGAAAGAATCCGAGGTAGCAGATAAAAGCTCGAATCATCTCTGGGATTCCCCTTTGAGATCTGCATTCAACCATGAGAGCCGAGGTCGGAAGACAGCTGTTTACAAAGGTGGTTGAAAGGGAATTGTTAAAGGAATTTTCTAACAAAATGGAGGCAAACTCACCGCATCCATGCTGTTCTTTGAAGTGAAGGCCCAGCTTTGATCCTTCCGTTCCTCACCCACAGCGATTCACTGCATAGCACGTCTTATCACTTATCTTGCTCCCGGAGAGGACTAGATCATTCCTCCTCTGCTCAGCTACAGCCTGTGTTTTCATCTCTGTTTTTCTCAAGATGACTGAGAAGTCTGGTGGTACTAAACTGCAAACAACATGCTCTTTCTGACTAGGAGAAATTGCCAGTGGTAAAAGGGGCCCTTTTCAGTATCACACCAAGGACTTTTCTTCCATCTGGTTTCTAAAGTGAATGATGGTGTTGATAAGAGATACGGCCTGAGTTCTAGACACTGCAAGCTCCTATCCCACCTAGGGCCTCAGTGGAAGCATGCACTTCTAAATCTGGAGATTGTGCCATGTAGCAGCTCAGTAGAAAATAACGAGTGACAAGAAGTGGCAGTGGGTGGCAAGTACTCTGGCAGAAGCCTGCTGTGACAAGTCACAGACTCTGGTGTCTAGAGAAGGGGTGGCTACTTCCTCAGACATAAGGAAACTTCCAGGTCACAGATGCTTTTTTAATCAGCTGGAGCAGAGGGTGTCACACTCTGGTGGTGTTTCAGGATACGGAAGCCAGGCAAATGGGTGAGGGGACTGTGAGTGTACATACATATCACCCTCGTCCTTGATTCCATCTTTTCCCAAGTCACTCAACTGAAGTCCTGAATGGGAACTAGAGGAGAGTGTGACAGTCATTTCTTCATTGGGAGGAAGACCCGAAAGATGCGATGGAGGAAGAAAGATTATTTTTAGCTCTTGGTTTCACCCTGTGGTTGGCTGGTTGGCACCTTTGTTTCTGGGCCACAGTGAGGCAGATCTTCATTGTAGGAAGGCCTGGAGGAGAAAGCTGCTAACTTACGTCAGCCAGGAAACAGGGAGAAAGAACCAGAGACCGTGCCTCCAGTGACTGTTCTCCTTCAGCTAGACCTTGCCTCCTAAAGTTGCCACCAACTCAATTCTCAGAGTAGCCCCGCCACCTGGGGTTCATTCCATAAGTACATGAGCCAGGGTTGCCTTTCAGAGTTGAACCTTACCAGAGAGTCA